TTAATTACTCACACTTCTGAAAATAATTTTCAAAAAAGTTAAAAAATAGCATTTACTTTATTAATTATGTAATTAAATTTATTTATATAACAATAATATTAAAATTAATATCAATTTTTATATTTTTATATAAATTTATGACAAAAAATACTTTTAATAAATAACTAATTAAATTAATACTCATAACATGAATATTAAAACTAATATTAACTTTTTAAACCTTTTACATGACTTAATCTCTAAAAAGTATAAATATTAATTATTTCATTTACTTATTCCATAAGGCACAACTTAGACAAACTTTTAAAATAAAAATAAGAACTTTGAAAAAAGGTAATAGCGGTCGGGATCAACCTGGGTAGGTAGTACGCATGAATGGTTCGGGCTGGTTGAGGTAATCGGTTTATAAAAATTAGGGCCGGTCGGTCACCACCACTATCTTTTTTTTTATTAACTTTCTGGTATTTAATAATTACATTAGATTCTAACTAATTCAGAATCAAGTCGCATCAAATCCCATTAGAAAAAAAATTTTCTCAACACTTATTTTTTCATTTACAATATTCAAATTCAAAATTTTATTTAAAAAAAATCAAATTCTTTTCACTCACTTAATAAGTAATTGTTCACCACCACCACCTCTGCGGCGTCTGTTATGGCGGGCCGATTTTAAACGCGTGGATCACCGTTCGAGTTTTTAAATCCGAGGCGCAAACGCGTGGGGGCGCAGTAGGTCCCACCAACACCTTTGACTTTTATTTTTCTGAAATTAAGGATCGAACGGTGGATAACAGCTGCCTGTCAGTGATGCACACGCTGTTTCTTATAAACATCTATTATTATTTGAACATTGGGAAATTTGGAGGATAGGGTATATTTTTTCAGGGCATTGGTGGGAATTGAACTTGTAATAAACTAAATTTGAACACTTAAAGGTTTGAGGACAAATCACTGGACTTGAATGTGTGATTCATTTTATATGGTTATTATTTAGAAGTTAAATATATATATACACACATTAAGAAAATAGCAAGTATTTTTCATAAGAAGAGAAGCAGGAGCATGAAGAATTATTTAAATATAATTTTTTTATTTTACAATTGAAATTATATCATATTATATAATAAAAATAATTAGATGAAAGATGACTTTTAACATAAATGTTTTTTAGTGTTTTAATTTTTAAATTTTTCTATATTTTTAATTATTTTAAAAATATATAAAATATTAATTAAAATAAATATTATACGTTAAATATATTTTATATATTTTTAAAATATTAAATGATAAAAAAAACCTTATAAAATTACAACTCAATAAGGTCAAATTAAACCTAAAAAAATTCGTCTTTTATTAGAAAGTTATTGTTGTACTGTACAGTTAGAATTCTTTTCTTCTTTTTTTTGGGAAAATAGGCAATGGAATACAGTTAAGAATTCTTTGAATAAATAAAAGTTGAAAAAGGCAAGAGCAGAGCAGATCCCTTTGAAATTTCCATTTTAGTCTTTCCACATTTATTAATTAAGATTAGACTAGACTAGACTTTTAAATTCCGCTGCTGCTTCTTCTGGTCAAATAACCTGCACGCTAATGTAAAATTGTGGAGGCAGTGATTGG